GGGGGGGGAAGTAGAAGCTCGTCTGTTTTTGCTGCTTCAGCTACCCGTGGGAGACGGGGAGCACATGCCAAGATTTCAAATAGAGGTCTGCACTTTTCCCCAGGCCATATTCATGTACACGAGTAGAAACAAGGAAACGATCCCCTCTTTACATTCCAGTTGCTGGCATAAGGTCCAGAATAAAAGGCCGCTACGTGTGCCAAGCAAGAAATGTCCCATGTTGGTTCTCGCCCCCCATAAACTTGGCAAAAATCGGCGCGCAGGCCATATTCAGGCTCGGCTTTAATAGCTGGGCGAGGTACTGGTGGTTTAAGGGACCAATTTGGTTTGTGGTGGTTTTTCTGGGTTGAGGCGTGCTTTTGTTGGATTTGGGGTTTTTGGTTTGTGTGGATTTTGCACGCTTGAAGCGGTTTTGTTTTAGGACAGAGGTTTCAGGACAACAACCCAGAATTGGCCTTTTTTTTATCCTAGATTTACCTCTTCCTAGCGAGTTTCGGCTCGTAAGCTAAACTGGGTAATGCTCCTAGGATAACTCTGGGTTGAATTGTGAGGTCCCCGACCTCCCCTTTGTGGTTTAACGAAGAAGCCCTCAGGGCCCTTTTCTTGAAAAAAAATAGGGTGACCCGGGCGGCCCGGCTGGTAGCCTAGTGTCGTACGAAATTGCGATACAAACATTTTTTGCCTAAATTCTTGGCAAAATTGCCAACAAAATTTTGAGAAATCGATGATGGTACGATAGACTCATGCAAAGTTGTGCCCTAAAACTCTTTGGGAAAAGTTTTAAAACCTCCCTACGACAACCCTTTATATTCTTTCCCCCATATGGGGCAAAAAGTGTGGCAGGCCCTAAAATGAGTTTTCATGTCATTTGTGCACCCTGGCTAGGCCGGTACCGCCCGCTGTGCAAAAGTGGCGGGAAGTGTTTTTACAGTTTGCAAAAGTAACAAGAAAAGTCAGGCCTACGGCATGCAAAAATGGCGGGAAGTGTTTTACAGGGTGCAAAAGTAACTTGAATAGGGCCTCGTTCCACACCAATTCACTTCACTTCACTTTCAAGGGCTGCACTTGAGCCGCCTCACAGGGAAATCATCATTAAAAAATACTTGAGCCTGTCACCGTTCGACGTTACCCTCCACTCCACACTCCAAAACTGAAACGGGAAAGTGGCGGCTGCTGTTGGCGCAGGGGAAGGGGGGAGTCGACTACACCAGCACAAAAAAACAAAAAAATAAAAAACCGACGGGGGGGGCGTACAACACCTATAACCGCCTCCCGACTCTCACTCGCGCCGTTTTGAAGTGCGGCTCAAGTGTGGCCGGAGAGGTGACTTGAAAAATTCACCGATTTGCCTGGGTCGCACTTGAGCTGCACTTGACGTTTTTGGCGGGCGCCGGGAGAGGCGGGAAGCCTAATCACGATTAGGGGAAGTGAAAGTCAAGTGCAGTGCAGTGTGGAACGGTGAATTTCTCAAGTATTTCTAAAGTGGAGTGGTGTGGAACACCACTTCACTTCACTTTCAAGGGCTGCACTTGAGCCGCCTCACAGGGAAATCGTCATTAAAAAAAACTTGAGCCTGTCACCGTTCGACGTTACCTTCCACTCCACACTCCAAAACTGAAGCGGGAAAGTGGTGGGGGCTGTTGGCGCAGGTGAAAGGGGGAGTCAACTACACCAGCGAAAAAAAACAAACAAACAAAAAACCGACCAGGGGGGCGTACAGTACCTGCAACCGCCTCGTGACTCTCACTTGCGCCGTTTTGAAGTGCGGCTCAAGTGTGGCCGGAGAGGTGACTTGAAAAATTCACCCATTTGCCTGGGCCGCACTTGAGCTGCACTTTGACTTTTTTGGCGGGCGTTGGGAGAGGTGGGAAGAGGCGGGAAGCCTAGTCACCATTAGGAAAGTGAAAGTCAAGTGCAGTGCAGTGTGGAACGGTGAATTTACACTGCACGGTGAATTTCTCAAGTATTTCTAAAGTGGAGTGGTATGGAACGAGGCCCGTAGTCATTTTGGGGCGTGCGGCACGCAAAAATGGCGGGAAGTGTTCTTACAGGGTGCAAAAGTAACATGAATAGTCATTTTGGGGCCTGCGGCACTTTTTCCCCCATTGGGGAGAAATGAATACCAAGGTTTGGGAGTTTGATAACTTTTCCCAAACTTCCCAAACTCGTTCTATAACGTACAGACGTTGTATTTGAATACCACCCGTACCCACAAGCAATCGCCCAAGATTTTGAATGCATCTCGCCAATTTTTCTATCCCGATGCATCCAAAATCTTGGCGGATGGCGAGTGGTCCAACTACCAGAAGGTCCTTCGCCTTGTGAGGGTTGAGGGAGGTAAAGGAAGCGAAGGGACGGGAATGCTCGCGGGCATCCTGGCCGTTGATCTCTGCTATCTACGGTCAATATCGTTTAATTCGTGTAAGGGGACCTAGGCCCCGGGTGCTCCAGCTGTCGAGGGCTGGTAGCCGGGGCTCGCCCCACCACTCGCCAGATATATGCAAATTGGAGAATGTATCCTGGCCAGAACGTGGAAAGATACGTCCGCCATAGCTTTTGTCGTTTTCGAGTTTAGTCAGTGGTGCGGCGAAAGGAGGCGCGCTTTCTTCCACTCTTCTGTGTCTGCTTAGGTCTGTGCGCGCGCGCGCGCGCCATGATGGGAAACTCCGACTACGTAGCATTTTCCGAAGTGTATCTGACTGCAATTACGGCTATGTAGGCGTGGATGAATCTTCCGCAATTGCTCCACGAGGAATCTGGCGCCATGGCGAGTCGCCGAGCGCGCCAAGTCTAATTTGCCCCAGCATGATTAGTCGAGAACGCGCCAATTCGAAATTTGCGACATGATGAGTCTACCGGCTCGTGAAATCGGGTTACTACAGTAGCGGGAATGAACGGCAAATGACGACGACTTTCTGGGCGGAATGTGGGCTGTAATTGCGGTCAGATGCAGCCTGGAAGGTTACGCACTGTGATGTTGGCCCGAGGAAGAAGGTGCAGCTCGCTAACAAAGAAGATACAGCTCGCGAGCACACCGTGTCTGTAGGCAGCGGGAAGAAGGAGCAGCAGCACACACACACACACACACACACACACACA